GGGAGGTCTCGAAGACGCCGAAATGCATCACACAATCTCCCAACCGTGGATGAAGCCAGGCTCTGATCTCAATTTTCGCGTGGGAATCGCCCAGGGACATGCAAGAAACGTCCAGAGAGCCAGCGTCGCCTTGAAGTTCGAAGGCAGAGAAGCAGATGTCTGCTCGGGACTGCCGCGACGGCCTCTGTTGCAAAAACTGGCTACGAGCCATCAAAGACCGGTCCTTCCTTCCGTCCTCGATGATCTTTTTGTCAACGACACCGCTCTCGTCGATGCCCTTCAGGCGCTTCTTGGCACTCTCGCTGCCGACCGCCCGGAGACCCGAGCGGATCTCCCTGGAGTTCAAGTGGCTGAAGAGCTGGATAGGCGTCTCTTCTGCCTCCAATGCCTCTTCGATGGCCCAGTCCTCGTGAAAGGGCATTTCGAACTCGAAGTCATGAGGCCCGTGCTTGATCCATCGGTTGCCGGCACCTCAGTAAACCAACACGGCTCAAAGCAGAGTTGTGTTTAGGCTTCGGAGACGAAAGGCCCAGCATCTGACTGTGTGCACACAGTTGTTCAAATCAAAAAAAAAGTCGGGGCACCGTCATGGAAGACGAACATCAGGAACTTCTCCATGCTGCAAGCAGGGATTTCAAAAGAGGCCTCCCATTTATCCGTGCCAGCACGTACCAGTGGCAATCTCTTGGAGAATTTCCAAGCCCGATCTTCTCCAGCTAAGCCGTACTGCACGACCAGGGCCACCTTGGCATGCACCAGCATATGTACGTTACACGCAGTCTCTGCTGCAGTTCCCAAGACGACCACCTCGAGGCCATAATTGCCAGGAACCGTCCAGGAGCTCGTTTTCGCATCCGGCTCTCCTCTCTGGACCTCCTCCACGAAGGTACTGAAAAGCTTGGAGGCTCGTCTTTGGAGCCGCACTGGACTGAATCCGCTGCCTTGAGGCTTTGCAGGCTTGCCCCTTCCGAAGTTCCCGGGGAGCTTGAAGGCAAAGTCTCGGCCAGCATCTTTCAGCCACTGGTCGACCGTGGGGTCGTGCAGAACGAACATCAAGTACTTGTTCAGATCTTTCTCAAGTCGCATCTGCCCCATGCCAATGTCTCCCTGCATCTTTTGCAACCTAAGTCTGGTAGACGATGTCCATCGACGGTCCTCACCAGCAAGGCCGTACTGGAGCACTAAATCGCGTCCGGAACGGACAATTGCCTGTACATCACAACCGCCGTCTTGTAGAACTGCAAGAATTGCCACCTCGATGCCACTCGAGCTGTAACAGGACACTTTGGCGGCTGGGTTCTCTTGGGCAGCCGCTTCAACGAGCTCTCGAAAGCCGCTGCTGTCAGCAACTTTGTAAAAATCCAAGATAAAGTTTCGTGATCCATCTTTAAGCCACTCATCCGGCTTCTTGTGCAGCACGAACTGGCAGCCTTTCAATCCTGCATCGTTGTTGATTTCCAAGCGGACTTTGCGCTCGTTCCGACGAGGATGTGGGAATGCCGTCTGCAGGGCCCCTGGCACGCGCTTGGCGGCTGGGACTGTGCGGGCCTGAGAGTCGACCGGCACGATCCACTCCTCCACGCTGTGCTTTCCCACGCCCCAGTGTAAACAAATGTCTCCGGCCAAGCCTGCAACTGTGATTTCGAAGGCCATCCAGCCGGCATCAGCTTCGACGGTGTCCACATAGATGCCCGGCTGCCGAGGGCTTCCGGAACTCCACAGGCCACCCATGGCTCCGATTAAAAAGAAGCCTACAGTGCCTACAGGTAGAGCTTGGAGCTCCTATATAGAGGTCCCAGGTTGAACATAGACTCCGTATGCCGTATGCGACTCAGAATAAAACATTTTCCAGGTGCTCAAGGCTTCGAGCCGCAGCTGTGGTGTGGTTGGGACTCGCATCTGACGAACACTCCCGCCGTTGAGTCTCCGCCACCCGGAAAAGATGCGGTCTTGACGGCTGCGCATATAGCGAATCGCCCCGCCCTCACTTTGCAAGAGTTCCGGTGTGAGATCGAAGTGAGGGGGGAGCGGGGGGGAACAGTTGAAGTGAAAATTCCCGGCAGAGGAACAGAGAGAGAGAGAGACAACTGTAAAAGCGACGTTGTTCTCTCATTTCTTGGATTGAGAAGTCCCTTTTGGAATCTTCCTGCCGCTGTTTGGCATGTACGATTTGTATGAGCCAGCAAGCGAAAGCGGATCGAAGAAACGGATCTTCGCTTCTGGACTTTGCCCCTTGCGCGCGCTCTTAATTGGGATTCTTCCTTGCGCCGGGCCGTGCAGCAGGCGTCGAATTGGAGACGAGAAAAAAAGCCATGTGAAAAGCACAATATGAAAAATAAGGAAGAAAGAACGAGAGAAAGAGAGAGAGAGAGAGAAAAGAGAAAAACGACGAACACAAAAGTGAATGAAGTCCGTGAAGAGGAGAGAGCTCAGAAAACAGAGAGGGAGACGAGAGAGACCACCTCCCAGCCAAAGGAAGGCTTGTCCCGAAAGAGAGCAGCAAATGCACGAACAAATTAAGTGCCTCCATGTTGAAGTCGTGTCGACATCCATGGTGGCAAAGTGCGGGCTTCCCAACTGCCCAGATTCTCGTCTAAACGGCATGACAAGGTACGCAAGCTTTGCACAACATGGATATTTGAGCCATCAAGGCTCTACCCGAGAAACACTAGCATCGCATGCCTTCAAATTGACGTCTGTGGCACAAAGATATGTCCCCATACCCTTGCAAGTGTGATAATAAGTTGAACAACCACCGCAAAATGGATGGATTGCTGCGGACCCCTGCTTAGCCGGATTGCTGCGGACCCCTGCTTTGCCGAACCAACTGTTTACCACTCGGACTGCATTGTCAAGTCAGGTTCAGGTTCATGAAGCCCACTTGGGGACTCTCTGACAAGGGTTTGCCGGTCACACCATGAGATCAACAGCATGGCAACGCCTACCTGGCGCAAGAACAGCACACACAGACATCAAACTGCATTTGTGATCAAGGCCCTGGCTTCGAAGCATTTGCACGGCCGTCAATGCTCGTGGATGTGGCTCCATGTCTGCCTGAGTGCAGTCGACTTGCGGTGGATGATCATATGACTGATGCATCAATATTGAATTTTGGGCTGTGGCAGCTGTGGCATGTCCAGTAGCGGTCACTGAAGTCACTGAAGATCCTGCTTGTAAAGCACGCAAGGCTTCGTTCTAACACTTCGCAATGGGCGCTCCTTCACACGGTGCGCCAGCGCCTCCCGTTGCCACAGCGTCCTGAACGAATTGACCAGCAGCTCTTGCAGCTGTGTCAATTTGGTAGCGGACTCATGGCACAAGGCCCGCACTGCAACTGTCTGAACTTGAAAATCTGCAACCATATTCTCCCAACCCACTTTTTCTGCACGAGCCCGGCTCGCCTTGGACATAATACTTCTGTCAGGTATCCCTCCAGAAGAGTCCTCGCCGGCCTGGCAGTTGGCGACTTTTTCTGCTTTGCTACCCCCGCAATATTTTACTATGGGCCTGTTTGGCAAGGAAGAAAACCATGCGCAACAAAAGGAAGCAAAGCAGCCATGGCGAGGAAACACTGACATGCCAGGCGCCCGCGAGCCCAGCCGACGATCAAGCACGTGGAATGCGAGGCTCAACTGTTGAAGATTCACGTCAAACTGGGCTATCGCAGCCATAGAAGACCTGAGACTCAAGTCTACTGCTGCAACCAAGTGCGACCCTCACTATCTTCCATCAGAATACCTCATGACCCTCCTGCAATCCAGCCTTCGGCGGCCATATTGACACATATGGTCTCTCAAACACCCTCAGCTATCTGGCAGCTATCCATGCCAGCCTGGCCGACAGTTGCCATGTGAAGGGGTCAATCATCCGCAACTCACGAACCCAAAATCACCGAGCAGCAAGACATCAACCTGTCTCTTCCGAGTTACTCGAATTCACTCAAGGGAAGTCTCACTGAAACAAGGTAAACTCTGTCAACAGAAGCTCTACGGCAACCCAATGTGCTACCTGCTCACTACTGTGGTTCATATTACTATTGCATAATGTACTGCTGACAGTCATCTTAGCACCAGCCAGTGCTGCGCATGTCTTTCTCTGGCAAACTTCGATGGTGCATGCCTTGTGGGTTTGCACGACAACCTGTCCGGATGCGTGCATCCGAAATGAGTCGTGAAATGGATATACAAGTCATACAACTTGGCCACTTGTGACTTTGGACGAATTCCGTCGCGCGTCACAGATGGCTCGTGCTAAACTCGTCATGCTGTGCACATTCACTGATTCACAGGTGCGGAAAAGTCACCCTGGACGGGAAAACATGCCCAGAATCTCAGCCTCTCGAATTACGTTCAGAGGGCATTGGAAGGCGCGGGGCAATCTCCAAATCCACCATATCTTGGCAAGATAGCCCTAAAGCCCAGTGGCTTCACTGCCGCAATGCCTTCTGTGCACCACTGGGACGGTTCTGACCCGAATCGTCTGCACATGGTCAAGTGCCTGTCTTGATCCACATGTCTTCTCTTCGATCAAGTCGTCCCATGACGCACTCTCGTAAGATCAAAATTTTAAAAACCAAAAATCATGATAATAACATGGTCAACTAAAATGCTTCAAGCAAGCACCATCTTCGAGAAGACTTGTGGCCAGATCATTGTCAGGGCACGGAAAGGCATGCATCACTGAGACGTTGGGAAATGGCGACAATCAGCTGGCGAGCCTCTGACAATCCCAGGAAAGGTCTAAGCGTGCAATTCGCAGTATGCATCCGGGAAGAATTCCCACACCCTGGGCTTGTCAGAGAAGTTGAAAATTGGCACTGACGTTAGGTGCGAATCTTGCTACATGCATGAGGTCTGTACCCGGAACAAGTCTTAGTGAGCTCGGACTTTTCGCCTTAAGCTCATGTTCCGCTCTTTCTTCCTGACATCGGAATGGCTGCCAGCTTGCTCAAAGGGCTGGCAGGCAACCGTGATATATTGAGACGGCTTCTAAGTAAGGCCTCAAGGCGTGCTTTGATTCGAGGCGCCAAAAGCATGTTGCAGTCTATCTGCAGGCTGCAGAAGCCCACGAATCGCCGCAGGGCTCAGAACTCCGTCGACCCCTGGGTATGAAGAATTGCACCGATCCAAAACCTGCCCCGTCTGCTCCATCTCCCTGCCTCGCTCGTCGAGCCCGTGGAAAGCGAAGCGGACACGGCCTGTTTCTTTTGCTGGACACCAATTGACATGATTTCTTGAGCTTCGCTATTGGGGTCTGTTTTCGCCTTGCTCGACGTGTGTGAAGCAGGCGGCTTGAAGGGCAGCTTCTGCTTGGTGGAGCCCAGGTCCTTCACCAGTGCGGCGCAGTACAGCGACTCCTTGCGACGAGCACCGGGCCTTGATCGGGGCCTTCAAAGTCAAAGATGCAGAATCGAGAGCCAAGGCATCGAAGAGGACCTGACACAAAGAAAGAACGACAAGGGCAGGGGGGTGAGCTGTCGAACAATGCAGCGACAAAGATCGCAGGAATCTGCAGCACCTGACTGGCCACGAAGCGCTCCTGCCACAAGGAATGACGCACAGGATGCACAAAGCTCGCCGCTTCCAGGGGCACGGGGAAAAGCCCAAAGTGGAAAGCCCCCTCCATGCGCAGGCGGTCCTTCTCCACCTTCTCCTTGCTCATCAGCTGCAGGCGCCGCTTCGCCAAGGTCTGCTTGCTGGGGGCCTGCAGCAAAAAGAGCGGAGAGCGGAGCCGCAGAGCGGAGGCTGGCCGGGCCTGGCAGGCAGCCGCGTCAAGGCCAAGGCAGTCGAAGGTCGAAGCGCTGGCCAAGAGAGCCATTGGAGGCCGCTTCCTCGGTTCAGAAAGGAATTCAAGGGGAGATCGACACAGATGCGCTGTCAAACTTTCCCTCTCTCTTTGTCTTGTCTTCTCTCATCTCTCCCTTCGCAGTGCTCTCCGAGCAGCATGTACTGCATGAGTCCTGAGAGGGAGACAGGAACGATCAATACAGGGGCGCATACTGCGGCGTCCTGCGGTCTTGGCATCCAACAGTGCGGACATCTTCTCCTCCGGCTTTAGCTAGTGCGCGAATGAGGACAGTGAACAAAGGCCGGAACGGAAAAGCGGCGCACCCCACCTGCAAGGTCGTGGCCTTAGCAGAATCGAGGACCCTCGCAGCTTCAGTGCCAACCCTACACTGGCATCGAGATCCCAGCGGTTAGTGCTGTGCGCTCCACACCCGGGATGGACCACAAAAAATGGCTGTCGTTGACAGCTGTGTGCACAAAAACTTGAGACCATGACCAGCAACATGAGGGGAAGAGCTGCAGGCAGGCACCCAAATCAGGTCCCAGCTCTCTTTTTGTCCTCTCTGTCCAGAAGTGCCGGTCGGCGCGCGGCCCTCGGCTTGGCCGGGCACGGCTCCTCGCAGGCGCCTCGCGGCCTTCGCTGCACGCCTTCTGCGCGCCTTCGCCCTCTGCGCTCCTCGTTGCACGATTTCGACCTGCCTCTGTGAAGGCTTCAACTTCAGGTGGAAACCCAGCCGTCTGTCCGGAAGCGCCTGTGCGACTCACGGCCTGCGTACAGCGAAGCTTCGTATGCAGCGAGGCTTAGGCGGCTGCTGCCTACAAACCTGTGATCTGAGAGTGACGCAGGTAAAGGTAGATGCTGCGATTGGCATCGTCACGCTTCAGGAATTCTGTCAAAGGCCGCTTGTTTGAGATAATCGCATCAACAAGATGCAGGGTGCTGCCTCTCTCGATCAAGTGCTCGATCTGGCTCTTGATCTGCGCCGGCTGCGGCTTGAAAAGAGTGCATTGTCTGAAGACCTCGTCCAAGAGGGAGTTGTGTTCCAGCCTGTTCCTGGGGCGGAGAGTGTCCCTAGGAGTGTGAGTCAGGACTCAAAGAGGCGAGACAAAAAAAGAGACGTCCTGGATTTCATGATCCGAACAATAGCCGCGTCGATGACGTGCTTCCGCTCCACCGGCGCCTCCGCCGACCCCGAGCTTTGGTCACCGGGTATGTGAGGCTCTGAAGGTCCCCAGCCTCGGCCAGTGTCGTCGTCTCCGCTTTCTCCTGTCGATACCCTCTGCAACGTGCATCACAAGACCGAAGTGGCTCTCAGTTGCGATTCGTTGCATGAACCGTCATCTCTCCTCCTTCTTGATGAGGCTCACGGCAACCTTCACCTTTTCGTTCGCGAACTTGTCATTCACCTGCGATGTGAGATGCGAACTGTGGCGCGCGTGTTTGCGCGAAAAACATGTTTTAGGGAAGCTGACTCGGGAGGTTGCCGGCCATTGCCCGTTTCACGGCTTTCCATAGATAGCAGGAACTGCAGGCAGGGGAGTCACAAGAACCTAGGCTTGCAGGGTGTGGAAGGGGAACACTGTATTCATGGGCCTTTCAAGGTTTACGCGCAGGACCGGGCGCGCAACATCGAGGGGCAGGGCTATGGCCTATGCAATGTTTCGAGAAACCGCACTGACTAGAGTACGTAAGAGAAGTGCAGGCAGCCGATTCTTCAGGATGCCAGCTGCAGACTTTCAGGATTTAGATTTGTGTTCAGGCTTTAGGTGTTTAGCAACACCGTCGTAACAGACGTTCCCTCGAAGCGGAAGTACCGAGAGGGTTGCCTTTTGGGCGGAAGATTTACCAAAACAGAACAAGTTCCATGAGACTGCAAAACCGGAACATCAGTCAAAACGTACTTCATCAAGAGGAGCGCGGGCAAGCGGTAGGGTAGTAGTAGTAGCAGTAGTAGTAGTAGTAGTAGTAGTCGTCGTCGTAGGGTGTCCCCCCCCGGTGCGACG